TGAGTTTGTGCACATTGTGAAGCAAGAATCTAAATATCTGTGTCACAATGATTTCTATAAAACCACGTTGTTTATGGGGATAATGTAACAAATCTTTTGTGCCTCCTATTAATGATCAAAGGTAATTGAAGAGGAACCCTGACTCAGGACATTTTCATGACAAGTGACAGTGCAGACAACTACTAATGAGAGAACATGTTTTATCATCATAAACACGATGATATGAAGCATCGTTAAAGTGTCACTTCAGTAATGTTGACTCATGTTTTTAATAATGACTTTAAAACACTAAACTCTAATTTCTGTGGTTATTTTAAGTTTACAGAATATAACATGTGGTAAGACGACGAGTTTTACTTCTCACTGTCCGTGTTATGTGTATCTATTTATGCTACTTTGCTCTGTGGACTGTAAAATGTTTCATTGTGTTCATGAAATAAACCAGACTTTCACTGTCTGCATCTTTTACTGTTTTTCTGCTTTTGGTCACTCCAAGTTTGACAAAACCTACAGATATCCAGAGTTAACTCACTAACAATGTGGAGCAGTCTCAGTGTATTTAGCTGCTTTTTCCCTGAACACAACCAACTGAGAGAAACGCCTGTAGGCCTCACTTTGGTCATTTGAACGCTGAAGGAGATTTGTTCCATAGACACATTATACTAGAGTTTCCTGCACTACTATGTTCTATTTAAATCCAGATTCCTTTTATAGTTTGCAGTGAAATTTGTTAAACCGTTGCTTAATGGGACAGAAGTACAAGTCACTCTTTACTAACACATTTGTAGATGAGTTTATTGCTGAACAACACAGCTAGCAGTCTCACACACTCTTTAGGTTTTTCAAGTTATGTGTGTAAGGGTTTAGTCTATCAAACCGTAGCCTTTTCTCCCCAGTATCACAACAGTATGACTCCCAAAGGACGGCTCAGTAAACAACCAATGATTCTAAAGCCAGAACAGAAAGATACAGTTGGAAGATGAATGATTGCGTTTTTATGATGCGTAGTAAAACGACCCCCTCTTCTTCTTCTCTGTGTTGTTGTTGTTGTTGTTGTTGTTGTTGTTGTTGTTGTTGTTGTTGTTGTTGTTGTTGTTGGTGTGTGTGTGTGTGTGTGTGTGTGTGTGTGTGTGTGTGTGTGTGTGTGTGCCTTAGAACTCAAATAATACATTAGCCATACTTAAAAAAACATCTGAATTTCATTTAGAACTGAGATTCTAAGTTGTAAGCAGAAATCTTATGCACAGCCAGAAACATTTTTCCCCACTTTCACAATGCTGAGGTGTCAAATCCACAACCCCCAACAAATGGTTTGTTACACGCGGGTGTGAAGGGCAAGCTTTACTTACACAGCCTCACACACAGTAGATTTTTAAAGTTTTTGGGTACAGGGGTTTAGCCACAGATGCAACATCCACTTTTGATAAAGATCACTCCACCTGTTTATTTCTTAAGAAATTAAGCATCTTTATTAAGCTCTTATTTATACATGTCTAAACAATAATAGACACCGTGTGCTCTGTGACATTATAGTCTTCTACTTCTGCTTCCATCGGTTTGCATTTTAAACTCCCAGCCTTTCAGTTTGTTATGAACGACTTATATTTCTAACATTTTGTGATATAAAAGTGAACCATGCGACTTTTTTTATTTTCTGTTTGATGGAATTACTTAAGACACGAGTTATTTAAACAATTCTAAATGACAGTGTGATGGCCATAGTACTTTATGTGGGCCAAATGTGTTAAGGATAATGTTTATCAATGTAAAATTGCAAAGAACTTGTTGATAGAATATAACATTTTGTAAACAGTTACCTCAGAAGCTGTACTGGTAGATCTATGTATGTAAGGTAAAACTATCCACAGTACTTCCACTTAAGTAACTAAACACATAAAGTCACCCTTACCAGTAATCCACTGCTCCTTGAAAAAAGTAGCACAAACAGACAACTGACTGAGCAATGATAAGTAGAGCTACCTGAGGCCGATACTCAAGCAGAAGAAAATTAAAAGTTGTTGTTTTTGTGGCTCGAAAAATTAAAGAAAGTATGTTTAATAATTCAACAAGACCCGCACCTTCAACACATGTACATTCAAATTCTGGTACAGGCTCAACATTGCTGTTGTTCAATAGTTTTTATCCGTTCGAAAAAGTCATTTTACGGCTTTAATGTTTCCAGCTGATAAGGAGAATGTGTGCATTTCAAATGTGCGTCCAAAGGCTTTAAACATCTGCTTTGTCTGTAACGACAGTATCAAACTACAGAGCATTGTTTTTACTAAAATTCAACATTTTCCGATGAAAATTTGGCTGCTTTTTGTTTTTTTCAGTGTAACACCCACCTCAACGCCGTTTTTAGGATATTCTTGGTGATCCCACCTTTTTCATATTTATGCTTTTGGCACTGAGGGTATCTAATACGCACGTTGTCACTGTGTTTTTGTACTACCAGCTGTGAGGGCTCAGCTTTTACTTTGAGCAGTCTGTTTTTATTTTGTCTCGTGACTGTGTGTTTATTTTTTTTCAAACGAGATCTCTGTCTAAATAATTAAGTAAATTTGGGTAAATTCCCAGATGATTAAACATGCGACTATTTTGCTGGTAATACCTGAAATGAGTAAAGAAGATCAACAGCCTAATTATGCGAGATAATTCATTATTTTATTGGGGGGGTTATATTGGTTGGGTCTGATTATTGGGGGGTCATAACCCCCGTAACCCCTCTGGAATGAGTTAAAGGACTGTTCCACTGTTTAATTAAACAGTTTTGCCATCATGTGCTATTTAAGGTCTACAGTGGCCTCTTGTGGACATTTTGAGTTATTGCTGGTGCCAACAAATTGACGCTGGTGTGACTGTTTCTGTAATGATCTATGACTCCGTTGACTCCATTCAACTATCTCTGCACTGAATTAAGACTGGAAAGAACTTGGATGTAACCAGTGCTTCTGTGGGACTTTATTAAAGACAATTCAACTCCTGAACTGCCCAGTTAGACCAGACCTGCTTACCCCAGTACTCCAGCATGTTGGTGCTGTCACACACATTATGTACTTGGTCTTAATGTCTCATTTCTGCAGAGACTCTCTGACAGCATGTTGTGCTGTTCACCACTGTCTGCATCAAAAAACCTCCTGAAGGCCCCACAGCTGCACTGACGGCAGCAGAGGAAGCACACAGTGACTGCAGCATCAGTGGCCCTCTCTTCCACAGCAACCTACAAAGACTTTATGATCATCATGCCTCCTGATGATGTTCAGGAAGTGCTTTTAAAAAGTTCTGGATCTGAACACCTCAGTGCAGTGATCAGTGTATCAGAGGCCTCGGCATCATTCTCTCTGATCAGCCCAGAAACAACAGAGTCAATCCCAGTTTTGAAATCCATCCATCTTCCGGGAATCTGTACACTCAAGTTTCAGCTGATGAGTACCTGCTGAAAAAGTCTTTTGTGTCTCAGAGACGACAGCGATGTCAGTCCTGAGGTAAGAATGAGAGAGTTCAGTACAAAATCAGAGAGCTGCGTTCAAGGTGAGCTTCTCATCTGTTCACTTGTATCTGTGTGTGATCAATATTTGGACTTAAGTGTAAAAATATTCACACTTAAGTTTAAATGTCTTCAATATAATATCTATTTATATATAATCGACCATTAAAAAGCATCTCTTGTATAACAGGTGCAGGTCGTGGACTCCTCCGTTGAGTTTATTTCAGCCCCAGAGGTTGGCACTCCGACTCTGTATGGGCTCATGCTGCTGCTGTGGAGGTCAGAGTGCGCGACACGAGGAAGCTGATGGCTTCACACTCAGTCATGAACTGTCCAAAGAGAGTTTCTTTGGCTCTCAGAGCAGGCGGACGCATCTTTCCCCTCTCTCTCCCTTATCGTCCCTGCTGCTGCTTCTATGTGTTCGTCTAGTCTCGTCTAACTCTAACCCTCAAAGAGTTTCTCAGTCTTGTTCTTTAAAACCTAAAGAATTATGGATTTGATCAACTGGTCCCGTAACGGAATTGACAGCTTCCTGGGCTTGGGAGAGCCCGATTGTCCTGCGGAGACATTTGCTGCCGGATACTCGATGCTCAGTTGGGTCGTGTGTCTGGTGACACTCTCGATGGAAGACATTGAACGACATCTACCAATTTGGAACCACAATAACAGAGTTCTGGCTGAACGGAGCTGGCTCAGACCCGGCTTATCGAAGAACAGCTGTTTGAAATCCCACAAGGCTGCCCGACATGATAGACGATTGGCTGTGAGTACTCAGACTGTGTTTAAAACGCCATATGGATACGATTGAGATATTGAGATAACTGGTGACCAGTGACGAACATTAGGCCAACTGTGGAAATTGGATGCAGTTGTTCGCACTAAACCCAAACATTCACCATCTTCACTCATGCAGCTATCCCACTGGCGCCAGCTGAAGGCCTGCCAAGGTGGAAGCTGATTGGAACAACAAACTTTCATATTTTTTAATTCGCATTAAAAGCTGCCCTTCCTGTAGCATCCACCGGAGGCTCCAGCAGTGAGTCAGTCCCACAGTTTAAACTTCACAGCAGAAAGAAACACGTTCAGTCTGATTTAAAAAAGAAAAACCTGATTTGGTCTCTGTAGATAATTTCTACCTTTATGACACATGTTTGTTTATTTTTTTAAAGTCATCTGTTTAAAGTTCAACTTTATTGTAAAGTTTCAAACATATAAAAATTACAGTTGGTGATGGTGCCTACTTCCATCTTTTAGATACAGTCTATGATAGGCGCGCAGAGAGAGAATAACAATAAAATATGATTTTATTTGAACTGTTAAAGTCTGAGGTGCAGTCTTGTGTTTTCTTTTTGGGGATCTCTTATTGGTTCACCTTTCTTCTACCTGATTGCGCGCACCCGGTGTGGGCACGTCCGTGGGCTCGCGGTAACCCGCTCTGCAGGTTCGCCCGGAGAGTCAGTGCCTGAGTGCTCCTGCAGCGAGCAGCTGTGCTCCTGCTCACACAGCGGACACCATGAGTAAGTCCAGCACGCTCAAAGTCCGGAAACTATTCAGCCTCAAATCACCGGAGAAGGAGAAGAAGGAGCTGAAGAGGTCGGGGTCCCTCAAAGATGTAGTGGGTGCAGGGACCAACCCCGCGGACATCCCGGGGGGCTACCCTGGAGCCCCGGCTCTCTCAGCCCGGGAGACAACCCGACTCTACCCGGGGACTCTTCACTCAATTCCCCGAAAGAAAAGAAGAAACGGCGGCTGCTGCCGTTCAAACTGAAACGGAAGAAATCCAAAGACAAAGACCGAGGAGGAGGAGGAGGAGAGGTGTTCTTCCCTGACACCGATGAGCTGGAGAGCTTCAGCAGCTACAAGTAAGCCAGAAACTTTCTCTGAAATTATTCTGAGCTTTCAGAGTTGAGCTGTAAGCGGAGGTCACACAGTCCGCAGTGATGCAGCTTTGAACGCGAGCTGATGCAGGTCACAGTGTCAGACAGTGTTCTGTTTAGCCCACATGTAGCACACACGGGAGCTCCTTACCCGGGTTAGATTTGCACTGTCCCACATCCATGTTTGTTTTTGTTTTTCGTTATTTCACAGATTCATGTGTTTATATTATGATCATGTTTGTGCTTTCCAAAATAACAGACATGTCTTTGTCCCACATCTGCATCTTTGGACACATTTGGGTCAAACGTAGTGGAGATTAGGCCAAAGTATGTCTGTTATCTGGCATCTGTCTCTTTAATGTTTTTAGATTTGCTCACATTTAGACTCATTTAATCTATTTGAAGATTTAATTGTGATCAAAGGCATCAGGGCAGCCTGTTGGTAAGCAGCCTGTACTGTAAGTAATGCTTGAATATATTGATCATCTGTATATCGATCTAAAATCTAAATAAGACCCCCCGTGCCTGTCTTTGGCCCCTCACTGTCCCAGGACCTCGCTGTTGGTAGTTACAGCTCTGTGTTTGCAGAAGCGAGGGAGCTGCTGAAGTGAGCGTCTCAGAGTGGCTGTTTACCGCCTCTGGCGCTTTTTTGAAATCAGAACGCAGCAGCTCTGAGCTGAGCTAGTTTAGTCATGCACGGCTTTGTGTGCATCACCAGAAAAATGTCGAGGGAGTTAAACAGGCACCGCAGGAGAAAGGTGGAGGTTGTGTTGTAGAAATATGCAGATTTAATGGTTAACTGGACACACGAGGTCTTCTCTGTGTGGGACCGTGATGAGTGACTGACCTGTGCCCTCAAATAACTCATTCAAACTCAAACTCTTCAGGTCAAGGTGGGCCTGGGGTGGTACTGACCCCCTCGTGCTCCAGCACTCAGTGGAATAAAACTGATTTTGCTTAATTATCTACGGAGCAGCCACGTCTCCTAATGCATGTTTATGGAGTTATGATGACACGGACCTTTGTCTGAGAGGATGCTACTGAATCTGTGGCACCCTGCTGGTCTAGTTCTTGCTCGCCTTGAGGAGCTCTACGAGCAGTTATCCCCTCTGAGTCACTGCTCCCGGTTAAATTAGAGTTTCAAAGAGAAACCACTCGACCTCAAGTGGTTACGATGACTTTCCAGCTCTTTATTTAACCCGGATATTTCTGTTCTCTGTCTTTTCTCTTAAGCACGCTGATGGTTGGAGCTCTGAGTCAGCTGTTGTTGTTGCACATTGTCAGGTTACCTGCAGCATGTTGTTGTGAGACAGTAATTAGAAAACATTAAAAACCTGCCGTGCAGGGCGTGACACGTTTACCTGTGAAGTCCAAATATAGATGGTGCTCGCCACATTGTCTAAGAAAGTACTGAGTCACTGAGTAACGAGACGAACTGAATAAAGCTTCATCCTGATCGTTGTTATGATGTAAACTAAATCAGGCTGTTCGTGCTGCTGAGTGTTTGGTTGGATGATCAGTAGGATCTGATTGTTCACCATCAGGAGCTGAAGTGTTAACGAAGCCTGTTTTGGTCTCTGTAGATAATCTCAGGCGATTTGTTTTATAAGTCACCTGTTTAACTTGGAATAAGACTTGGGGGCGTGGCCACATTATCTGATCAATAACATGGCAGCTGTGCTAACAGACCTGAGCTCCAGTTTGTCTCCAACAGTCTCCATAACCACACTGATGTGATAAAGATGAGCACCATCCTCTTCGTCAGACCTGGGTATGGTGCAGCATCCGGCCCTCGGGCTCCGTGTGAGGTTAAAGTGAAACTAAGGTTCAAACATAATCCAAACCACGCAGCATATTAATGACTGACCTCGTGCTATGATGGATCCTCTCAGACGTTCTTGGCTGAAGTTTGGTTTTTTTCATTGTCTTCTTCCTGTCATGTGACGGCGTTTGTCTCGTGCTGTCAGGGACCCTCGACATGAAGTTCAACCCCGTCCTCTGTCTGCCCTGTTCTCATGTGCTTATAGCTCTGTGGCTGATAACAACTTTGCACATTATTGTGACTCAGGTTTTCTTTCTAGTTCATTTTGAATGTTTATATCATCTTTACATGGAAACTATCAAACATCCTGCGAATCTCATAATCCTCTACCATGCATGTCTAACATCTGGAGAACAGAAACACTGATCATTTTATTAGAGCTGAAAGAATCTGGATCATTTTTAACTCAAACTTTGGCCTTTGGGAGCTGAATGTACTTGGACCCGGATATAATAATGAAGTAATTCCCCTGCCTTTAAATGAAGCCTGCACACCTGTCTCACAGGTGGATTCTGAAGAAGAGGGACAGACTTTGGTATTTTTCCTCTCGACACTAAAGCTTTCCGAGTTCCTCGTGTTTCTCTGACTCTGAACAGGCTGTGACTTCCTGCTTCCTCCAACCAACATGAAAGTTTCAAAGTGCTGCTCTGGTTACAGATTCCAGCAGGAATTCATCAGCACTCGGATACAGGTCTCATCTGTCATCATAAACATACCAGGGTCTGCACGGTGATCTCACTGCAAGGCAATCTATCACTGACAGCTTCACATTGTTTCTGTAACAGGTGAAGAGTGCAGGTCACGTTTAGACGAAGGCTTCAGGTGTGGATGTCACGGCAATCCTTCACCCGGCTTTCCTCTCGGACTGATTCAGGGATTATATTTTATCCTCACATGCAGACATGATTCACGAGTGACCTGCATGTTTCTTCCTCATACATTCGTCTCATGTCGTTTTTGGGATGAGTTTGAGGATCCACGAGGATCCAAAATCAGGAGAGGTTATTCAGGAAAAACAGCCACAGCACATCTAAGTTATTCCTCTGCTTCTGTCGTGTTTACATCAGAGGATAAAAATGCATCTATCCTAAAACCTACAGCTGTGTACCTGCCGCAGTCACCACGATGTCTGTAGAGAGATTACACAGTCCTTAAGAATCGTAAACATCTCAGCTTATCACTTCCTTTCATCATGGTGGCGTTTTTGTGACAGCAGTAGAGCAGTGACATGATGACATGAAGCACCAGAGTCACACGCTCTGTTCTGCTCTGTTTCGATGTCGCATTGATGCCGAAAACCTCAGTAGGACAGAGATGCATCACTGCAGTTATCCTGCTGATTCAGTCAGAAAGCTCCACCAGGTGTCTGTGAGAACTGATCTGTTCATTTCAGTTCTATGTTGGTTTACTGTGCCATACAATAGATGGACTGACTGTGAAGATCACCGATGTTGGCGTCTTGTCACTCTGGATGTGACAAATCGGCGTATCTGGCTGTGAAACTGGACACGCCTCCTTTTGAAACAAAGCATAACCAAAACTTACTAAATGGATTCGACGTGCGGAGGCGTTTCAAACCTGCCAGACAGAAAATGTTCTCAGTCGTTTCTACAAACCAGAGAAAACCAGGGAGAAAAAGACTCTCCAAACACACTGAAAGCAGATGAGTTCTGATGGAGTCAGAAAAGCAAAGTTTAAGTTGAGTTTGATGTTTCCTTAAATATAAAAGAACAGTTTTGAAGGAATAAACCTTCTTTTATCTTTGCAGATATAAAAAGACGAGATCTAGATCCTGGAAAAGCATCAGGAATCAGAAAGAACTGAGCCTATAAACAGAATCAACAGTCGCTGAGTTATCTCTAAAATCTGATCTGTACATTTGTCTGTGTGGAGTTTCATGCTCGCAGCGTCCTGAGGCGATCTGATCGTGCAGACTGGATGAAGGTGTCACGCCCTTCAGTGGGAGCCGCTCGCACTGAGCGCACAGCTTGATGTGAGGGCGTGGAGGTTTGACGCCAGAGTGAGCGAGCCCTGTGGTCTCAGTGCAGGATTTAACAAGTAAACCAGGCCGATGCACACACTCGTAGCTGCTTGTAGATCGAGGTGAAATTTTGTGACTCATCAGTTTGTGTAGTTTTGTAATGACGACTAATCTTTCTGGGAAACGAGTTTGTTTTTTCTGTGTTGAATTCATCGTCACTGAGATGATTCTGATGTTTGTTGTTGTTTCTGACTAAAAGATGCTTCTCATAAATCTGATCGATTTACTGGGACTAAAGATCTTTATCAAACATGACTGAGTCACCACCTCATGACTCGTGCACAGGAGAGATGTGCTCTGAAAGCTGACTACATCTTTAAATGCTGCTTTGTTTGCTCGTTGGCTCCAGAAATACTCGGCTGAGTGTTTTACTGTTATTTCATTGATGTACATCAGCAGATTTGACATTAACAGCCAAGATAACCTGTGATGTAAGAAAATAAAGAGTGGTTGTGTGTCGGCTTTGTCAGAATAAACTGGAACATCGCAAAGAAACCAGAGCTGCTGCTAAGGTTAGCCTGATTCTGCAGGCTCGTGTGCGTGTTTGCAACGTCATACATGACACATGTTACAGAAACATTTACAACGATTGATGAAGAACTGATTAAAATTCCTAAATACTTTATGAAACACACAAATATTTAAAGTTTGCTAAATTTTAATGTTTCCTGAGAATTTTGTCTTTTAGTTTGATCAAAAAGTCATTTTTTCTCTCTCATTTAAACAAATGAGCGTCCCTGCGTTCAGAGTTTAACACGCTGCAGCCAAATCTTTTGTTTTAAAGTTGGAAAATCAGAAGTTTGAGCTCAGCGTTTCCTTATTCCTGTTGATTTGCTGCATTTCTAGTTTGGATTTAGTTTTTCTCTCTACACATGGCACGGTCTGTTCACTGTCACTTCCTGCTCCTCCTTTTGCTGTTATTTTTCAGACTAACTGGAAGAGAGAAAATCGTAGGTCCATAGATTCCCTGCAGAGGTATCGATTAAGCTTAAAGGCTGTAATGTGTGGGTTTTTTTTTGTTTTTTTTCTAGAGGAAGGTAATCCAGATTAGAAACGTCAGACTATCATTCTGATTTGTAGTAAAACCATCTGAACCTCAGATTTTACGATGTGTAAACCCTC